CCTCCGTCGGGTTTAGGGAAAGCGAGTAGGCGGCTGGCTGTGAGGAGTGCGGCTACGTCAGGAGTGGAGTCGCCCCGCAGTAATTGAGTTACGAGGATGTGGAGCTTGCTAGCGACGGCGCTGTTGGCGAGGGCTGCATCGCGAATGTGTTCGAAGCACATTCCCGAGGGGCCCGCGCCAACCCCGTTTTCGCTGCGGCTCAGTAACCTGGTGAACTCTGCGAGCGTGAGGGAGGGGGGGACCTCCGACTCGTCGATGTGGGGCCAAGCGAGTGACTCAGTCAGCGGCGGTGGATGCTTGGTTTTCAACGCCTCGAGGACTTCCTGGGTTGACTCGCTGACCGGGGTCGAGTCGAGGGCCAGCAGGGCGCGCCTCAGGCTGCCTCGGCGGACCAGCCCCTCGGCTCGAGATATTTTGCCGAGGGTGTCCCCTGTGTGACGTGGCGCCGGTGGGTCGTGGATGGCGTCCACTGCTGCCAGGTAAAGCTCGTGCCAATCGCCTGCCAGGAACTGCTGGAGCCTTTTTTCCACGGTGGGCCAGTCAGGGTGCTTTGGCGAGTTGAGGCGAAGTGTCAGTCGAGGTGCGAAAAGTAACAAGCGCCAGCCTGGCAGGCTGGTAGGTTGGGCTGCGAGGTGGAGGAGGGGTGTCAGCAGGACGAGGGCGAAAAGCTGGCGAAGTTTGGGGGGGATCTTGCGGGAAAGGGGGGTTGGCGACTGTCGCAGAGGAGCCCGATATCCCAGCTGGCTACCCCCGCGAAAAGCTGTTCGTTGGCGGCTAGCTCTGCTGGCGAAATTTGTCGCTGGGGTTGGCTGGGCTGTTCTGTGCGGTCCCGCTCGTTCCGTGCGTTCGGCCTGTTTTCAGCCGCGGGAGCTGGGGCGTGCCGAGTGCGTCGCGACGCTTGTCCCCGAAATGCTCTGTCTCGAGCGTCCCCTTCGGATCCCTCAGTGCTTGACTCGTACTGTGATTCCTCTCTATAAGTCGGGTCCCTCCTCTCCTCCTAGTCGGTTGCTTGTTCCCTCCGTCTCGCCCTTAAAGCCCGTCCTGCAGCCCTCTGGAAGTCGTTCACTGGCCCTCCCCCTGCCATGAGCTCGTCTGCCCTGCTGCGCTCTCTCCGTTGACCTCCACCCCGTCCCGGGTCTCCTCGCGGCGTTTGTCGCGGCCCGAGGCGCGTCCCTGCCGTCGGTGGGGTGCGGCGGTGAGTGCTCGATGGGAAGCGAAGGGGGGTTTCGTGGCCGTCAGGGGCGACCCGCCGATCTGTCGAGCTCGGCTGATAGCGGGCGCCCCCAGATCTGGCGAGCTTGGCCGCCTACTCCGCGCCGTTGTGGGAGCGGGGGATCCCCGCTCTCCGAAGCCAGCGGCAGTCGCCAGACCCCGTGTGTTCCCGTGCTGGGAGTGGTTCGGCGGCGCCTGCTCTGCGCGGCGAGCAGGGAGGGACCCTGGGGCCCGAGCGCGCAGAGCGTAGCGGTGGCCCAGCGGGGTCGTCGCCTCGCCACCCGCTGTCTCGGCCGCCGTCACCGCGCCCGCCGTCTCGGCCGCCTTCCCCCTGTCTGCGTTCGTGCTATTCGTCCCCACAGCGTCCGTCGCGTCCTGCCTCCCCGCGTCCGCCGTCGCGTCCGGCGTCCCCGCGTCAGCCGTCGCGTCATTCGTCGCCGTCGCCACCATCCCACGCTCTGCCTCAGCGGCGGACCGAGCCGCTGCCGTCCTTGCAGCTGCCGTCGCGTCACTCTCCCCCCCCGCAGCCGGCTCCCCGCCGATCTCCGGGCCGTCTTGGTCCGCCTGCTGCGCAGCCCTGGGGGACTCCTGGGGCGGCGGCCGTGCTGGACCGCGTCGCGGCCGTCGCGCCGGCCTTGCCGCACGGACGGCGGCTCTTGAGCGCCAGCTGGCGACCAGCGCGCGGGCCCTTGAAGGCATTCTAAGTGGCGTTCAGGCGCTTGCTTCGACCGCGCCGGTGGGAGGGGCTGCTCAGACCGCGCCCGGTGCGTTGCATCCGCGTCCGTGTCATCCGTTCCCGCCTCGCCCCTCCGCATCCGCCGTCGCTGTTTCCGGCGAGTGCGCCCGTGTGTTTCCAGCCGGCGTCGGCGCTCCTGAGACCTCCGCCGCCCGTGTACCGCGGGGCTCGTCTTCCCATGGCGCCTCCCACACTGGACACACCGGCGGCCTCCAGTGGAGCGCTCCCCGAGTGGCAAACACCTCCGCAGTCCTTCGTCCCCGATCACTGGGCTCCTGGGCTTCCCGCCCGTGCGTCGGGTGTGGGGGTGTATGGGCCCTTCGTGCCACCCCGTCGACTGGCGGTGTCCCCAAATGGAGTTGAGGAGGGGCAGAAGCAGCGGAGACGGGGGGGATGGAGTCGTCGGAGGAGATCTCCCCCGGGTTCCGTGCCCAGTCCCGGACCCGGCGCCCAGTGGGTACGCGGAGCCAACCGGGGGCGCAGGAGGACGGTCTGCCGGCAGGCGGCAGACGGAGCAGGTGGTAGCGGTTCCAGCAGCCACGTTCCGTCGGATGTGCCAGACGAGGAGGGCGTTTGGACTGCTGGCGGTGGTCGTGGAGGCGACGCACTCCGCGCTGCTGGGGTCAGAGAGCTCCCGAAAGATGCAGCACTCACACTTGCGGACGAGTTCGGACGCGCTTGCGGACCTCGTGGTGGTGATGGGGCAAGCGCTGCCCGTGCCCGGCCCGGGAAATGGCTTGGACCCGGCCGTGGCCGCCGCAATGAGAGCGATGTCGGAGAGCATCGCGTTGGCGTCAGCCGTAGATCTCGCAGGCAGCTGCGCGTCCACGCTGCGGGTGCTGGTGGGCCTACTGTCGGCGCAGCTGGAAGAGGCTGCGGGGTTCGAGTGACGGGGTGGCGTCTCGCGTACGTTCGCGGCCGGCCCGCGTCAGCGGCCGTCTGGGAGGTTGGCGAGCGTCCCGTCAGTAGTAGGAGTCCCTCCATGCTGGTGGCATTGGAGCGGGCGCTGTAGGGATTTGTTGTGCCCTTGGGGCTTGGTGCTTGTATTGAAAACGGAGTAGTCGTTTCCTGGTGTTCTTGCCGTCCCGAACGCGCGGCCGGAGGCCGCCGACGCGAGCCGCTGGCAAGGAAGGAGAAATGAGAACTGAACTAAAAACAGCGGAGAATGAGAGGGAGAGGGCCTTATTTAGCTTGGGAACCCATGCTCTCTCTCTCTCGCTCTCTCTCTCTCCTCTCTCTCGCTGGCAAGGAAGGAGAAATGAGAACTGAACTAAAAACAGCGGAGAATGAGAGGGAGAGGGCCTTATTTAGCTTGGGAACCCATGCTCTCTCTCTCTCGCTCTCTCTCTCTCCTCTCTCTCGCTGGCAAGGAAGGAGAAATGAGAACTGAACTAAAAACAGCGGAGAATGAGAGGGAGAGGGCCTTATATAGCTTGGGAACCCATGCTCTCTCTCTCTCGCTCTCTCTCTCCTCTCTCTCGCTGGCAAGGAAGGAGAAATGAGAACTGAACTAAAAACAGCGGAGAATGAGAGGGAGAGGGCCTTATATAGCTTGGGAACCCATGCTCTCTCTCTCTCTCTCTCTCTCTCTCTCTCTCTCTCTCTCTCTCTCCTCTCTCTCTCTCTCTCCTCTCTCTCTCTCTCTCTCTCTCTCAAGCCTAGCCCACAGGGGCCTAGGACCTGCTACCCTCACGGCTCCTACTCTCTCTCTCTTTCCTATCCTAGCCCTCAAGAGCCGTCGTGACTGGGGGGATCTGCTAGTCACGGCTGAGTAGACATGAGCAGGGTAGACATGGTTAAAATGCGATGCGATGCGATATCGCATCGCATTTTGTCATATCACGCCTGATATCTCAGCGATGCGATATCGCATCGCTGCGATATTCTGTTTAGAAAATTGAAATCGCATATCGCTTTTTAGGGTGCGATGTTACAAAACATCGCACCCATGAATGCGATATATCGCGCGATGCGATTTAATATCGCATCGCATTTAGGGGTCGGAGGAGAAAAGAAGAACGACAAGGCCGGCTTTCCTAGGTGCGCAAGGAATTAGGTGAGTGAAGTTTAACGGGAGAATGGGATATCGTAGCCCCTCTCTGATGTAAAGCGTGTTAGAGGGGCAGGGGTTGGATTCCGTAGATGTGGAGGAATGTAGTGCGGTCGAAGTGGTGGAAATTGGTTGGACTTCCAACCAATTGACTTAGTGGGGGGTCGAGATTTCAATCAACCCCCTAAATCCCTTCAACCGCACACCACCACATTCCATCCACCACCGCCCATGTCAAAATTTGAACCTCCAACCAATTCCCTTCCCTCAACCGCACTGCACTCCTTTTCAACCAGAATTTCCAACCCTTCCTCTCCAAGCTCCTCACAAACACCTCCCCCGTCAATTACACCAACCCCAAACAGCCGCGCGCAATTTCTGCACGCCATTACAACCAGAGAACCCTATTTTTTTCTAAGTTCAGGGCCCGCGCCCATGTTCCCCCCCCTTTCTGGCACAATTAAGCAACGCGATATGCGGATGTATGGCGCGCGATATTTTAATATCGCATATCGCATTATATCGCGCTGAAAAATCCGCGATAACTGCGCAATATCGCAAAGATCGCGCGATATTATCGCATCGCATGGCTGCGATTTTTTACTTTAAAAAAAAAAAAAAATCGCAATCGCAAAATGCGATGCGATGCACCCATGTCTAGAGCAGGGGCCTTTAGGAGCCCTCCTGAGTGCTCCTGAGTAACGCCAGCAGTCACGATATTTAGCTAGGAGGGCTCCCACTCTCTCCCTCTCTCAAGCGGTCCTGCTCATGACGATGTACATAAAAATGTCGAGATGCGAAGTATTATGGTGATGGTGGTGAAGCCCTTACCCGTCCTAGTATGTGTTCAGTTTAGGAGCAAGCGGCATATGATGAACCTAATCTGAAACAATTCTCCGGTTGGCCGATCAAAGATCTGAGGCCAACAGAACTAGCAAAGCAAGCCTATGAACAACATGTTCACTTGCTTGTGTCTCTCTTCTTCCGACCCACGCCACACAGGGATCTCTCGTCCAACAGTATCACTGGCTCCATTCCCAGCAGCATCACCTCGCTCACTCAACTCGTTTTTCTGTACGAAGCTCATTCAAATCTCGCGGTCACTCTATGCCAGTGTTACATCGCTATTGCTTGTGACACCATCTCTAACACTCTCATCGATCCAGTTCCAGAGCATTGTTGGATGATCCCTGACAGGTTAAACAGCATGCACACCTTGTGGCAGCCACGTGTTCCGCATGCTTGCATGCACCTTCCTCCCATTCCAAGTACACGCTTCCAACAAATTTCCCTTGATTTCCCTAACTTGTTGTCACATTCTGTGGAACCCTAGTTGAATGTACGCTTATGAATTTTTACGTTCACGAACGTTTTCGGTATTTTTTTAAACATTTTAACAACTGTCTTGTTTTTAGCTTATGTTACAGTGGTCAGCTTATGACATTCTCTGGGCTACCTAGATAGTGTCATGTTGCATGATTCCGCGTCAGAACCTGCGCATAATTTTTGCTATTGTTTTTTTTTTTTTTTTTTTTTTTTTTTTTTTGCTCGCCACTTGACCAGAATTTCGGCATTCCCTTATTTACGCACCATGCCCCCTTCTCGGCATTAAACTCTTTAACCTTTCTTTATACAGACTCCAAGCACCTTTCCTTTCACACGCGTATTTGGACACACGCCATAACCTCGTAGTCTTTTCGGATTCTGTTAACAGCCAAAACTGTGGTGTTGTCTTGTTTTTATCGCATTTGCTTTCGGACCAACCGGCACATACGCTAAAGTTTGTTGCGTTTGACGCAGAAAATAACGCGCAAGTTAGGTTGACATTAGACATGGGTATATCGCATCGCATTTTATCGCATTTGGAATTGCGATTGATATTTTTTGAAGTAAAAAATCGCAGCGATGTGATGCCGATAATGTCGCGCCGATTTTTGCGATATCGTGCAGTTATCGCGGATTTTTTCAGCGCGATTATAATGCAATATGCGATATTAAAATATCGCGCGCCATACATCCGCATATCGCGTTGCGGAAATCGTGCTAGAAAGGGGGGGGAACATGGCGCGGGCCCTGAACTTAGCAAAATTAGGGTTCTCTGGTTGTAATAGGCTTGAGCAAAAACCGGGTATTTACCCGACCCGACCCGGTTTTGCTATACCCGACTTCGGGTCGGGTAGTTACGGGTCGGGTACGGGTCGGGTAACATGCCCTGGACCAATACCCGGAACCGGGATTTGGGGGCGGGTAAATTAATACCCGCTGGCGGGTCCGGGTATACTCAAGGTGCAAAATTTCGGCAGGGCGTTTTTTTCCATGGTTTTTTTCGATCGTTTTTTTCGGTGATTTTAGGAAAAAAACGCCGAATTTTTAATAGAGCGTTTCGGGTGTATTTTGTTATGAAGTTCTAAACGTCCACCAGATCTGCGCATTTCGTCCGCCAAAACGCGAGATCCACACATTTTGGTGGGAGAAATGCCAGATCCGCACATTTGGCAGGCGAAATGTCAGATCCGCGCATATCAGCGGGCGAAATGCCAGATCCGGACATTTCGCTTGTATTTTTCATTTTTTTGAAAAAAAAACGCCGAATTTTTTTCACCAATAATTTTTTTTTTCCAAACCGTTTTAATTCGTATTATACGTTCGTTTAATTCGGTACCGTACCATACGGTCTCAAAAGGAAAAAAACGGCCGTATTTTGTACCTTGGGTATACCCGACCCGGTTTCCTTGAAAAGCGGTAGTAGTACCCGCGTTTTCCTACCCTGTTGGGCTACTAAACCTATGACCTAGATAGTGCTTAAAAAACGTCAGTTGCGGGAGGGAGTATGAGGTGCGCCAAATCTTTAACAGCTCTGGTGTGGTGAGTGGGGCGTGAGTGGGGCCTGAGTGGGGATTTGGTTGGGTTTTCTAGTTGGGATGGGGTTGTGTGCGGTTTTAGGGGGTTTGATTCTTTGACCCCCAGAGTCAACTGGTTGGAAGTCCAACCAATGTGGTGCTGGTGCGGTTGTTGGATTCAGGTTGGGTTGCAAATTCGATTGGTTGGAATTCCAACCAATTTCCCCCAATTCAACCGTCTGAATACATCTGGATCTACGAAATCCAACCCCTGCCACTCTACAATGCTTTACGTGACCTAGCAGCTACATAACCTAAAAACTTGCTGAAATTTCTCTACCATCGCGATCAATGTCGCGCTGGTTCCGTCGGGTAGACGCGCTACCCGATTTCGGTCGGGTACCCACTACCCGACGTTCAGGTATCATTTCGGGTAGCGGTATTGAATACCCGCCCGGGTAACCCGGACCCGACCTGCCGGGTAATTTTCAGGATTCCCGATACCTGACCTGCCCTAAAAGCGGATCCGGGTACCGGGTACCCGACCCGGGCGGGTAGTATGCTCAAGCCTAGGTTGTAATGGCGTGCAGAAATTGCGCGCGGCTGTTTGGGGTTGGCGTAATTGACGGGAGGTGTTTGTGAGGAGCTTGGAGAGGAAGGGTTGGAAATTCTAGTTGAAAAGGAGTGCAGTGCGGTTGAGGGAAGGGAATTGGTTGGAGGTTCAAATTTTGACATGGGCGGTGGTGGATGGAATGTGGTGGTGTGCGGTTGAAGGGATTTAGGGGGTTGATTGAAATCTCGACCCCCCACTAAGTCAATTGGTTGGAAGTCCAACCAATTTCCACCACTTCGACCGCACTACATTCCTCCACATCTACGGAATCCAACCCCTGCCCCTCTAACACGCTTTACATCAGAGAGGGGCTACGATATCCCATTCTCCCGTTAAACTTCACTCACCTCATTCCTCGCGCACCTAGGAAAGCCGGCCTTGTCGTTCTGCTTTTCTCCTCCGACCCCTAAATGCGATGCGATATTAAATCGCATCGCGCGATATATCGCATTCATGGGTGCGATATTTTGTAACATCGCACCCTAAAAAGCGATATGCGATTTTATTTTTTGAAACAGAATATCGCAGCGTTGCGATATCGCATCGCTGTGATATCACACGCGATATGACAAAATGCGACGCGATATCGCATCGCATTTTAACCATGTCTAGTTGACATGGCTTACATAGGATCTGAAGCGATGTAAAAACCGATTTTCCAACACAAGTTCTGGAAATTTTGGGTTTTTGTGGAAATTCGGTTTCACCCTCTGAAGACATGGTTCTCGATCCATTTACTCTATGGAACTTTCTGCCTGGCTCTGAGAATACCCTGCCCTCCTTCCCTCCCCTTTCTCCCTCTTCTTTGCACGGACTATTCTTCTCGGGCGAACAGAAATATAGGCGGGAATCTCTTGGATGGATCCATTCCAGACTCTCTTGACTCGATGGTCGTGTTGATGAATCTGTAAGTATCATGTCAACAGTTGCTAGGGTGTTAGAGCCAACTGACGATTACGCTTGATGGCTTTTCCCTTTCTTGGTCCGGTGTGTGTTGAATTTGTGAATTAATGTTTTATATCAATGATCCTCCTTCAATCTATCCCTTTTATTTCTCTTCCTTGGTTTCTTTACCCCTGGTTTTCCATCCTTGCTTTACCCATGGGTTACACCATTACTCTTTACGAACTGTCAGAAATATGAGTGGAAACCACTTGAAAGGGTCCATTCCAACTACTCTTGGCAGCATGGGCAGCTTGAAGTTTCTGTGAGTATAGACATTGGCAGCAGTACTGCCACTACTTCCATTGCAGTGCCTGCAGTTCTGTTCACAATAGCAGGAACCTTGCTTGAGTCATCCTTAAGTTTGCAGATGTTGACTGATTCTTTTGCCACACATTTCTGTATCAGCATCTTCATTGCGAAATATGTTGGTCCAAACCACCCAACCCAACTGTGGAAGGACAGTTAGAAACGTGGATGCACAGGTTTTGTTTCCCAAACCCTTGAGTGTGATTATGACACGAGTTTTAGGACACATATAACCGTTCTTCGCTTTGCACCTATGTTTAAATGAGCAGGTACATGAATGATAACCAGCTCACTGGGAGCATTCCGGGCTTCATCAACCCAATGAATCTGACTGAACTGTACGTACATGTCTGTATTTTGTTATTCCACAAGCACGATCTCAAAGGACGTCATGCAAGTGCATTGTTACAAGTGAAACAGCAGTCATAACTTGGAGACTGAGAGCACCTGGCATACATGCATACACACACACACGCACACACGCATGCATGCATGCATTCCTTTGTAGTGTCCACAAGTAAGGACGAACGGTTATCAGGTTTGAGTACTATTGCAAGCTAAGTCTTGTCAGGAACAACATGCTCATCAGTGTATCATTCAATCTGCCGCACGTACGAGCATGTAATTAATGTATAATCGCTGGTGTACATTATGTGCACGTCGAAATGGCCATATGTCATAGCAAATGCTCCGAGAAGATGCTGGAACTGGTTGCCTTTTGGCCCTTGAGTGCAGGCTCCTCATATTCGACTGGGCGTTGTCAGCTTTGCCACGATGTCAAGATTGTAATGTTGTATATTGTCCTTATTGCACGCTGTGCTTCCTCCTACTGGTTATACTCTTTCTCTCGCTACATATGGTCGTTGTTCTTTCCTGTCCATCAGGGTGTTGAGTGGGAATCAGCTGAGCGGCCTCATCCCCCCTCTATTCATTCCTGCGAACAGCTTCAACGTCTGTGAGTTTCCAGTTTGCTCATTCTACAGCCGCTGCTGTGTGCCATGGATAAGCAGCAGGTTGTGGAGCAAACAGTGCTACTGCTACCCTTGCCACGGTTTTTGCTAATGTTGCCACAGTTTTTGAGAGGTGCTGATATTCAGCTTGAACAATCTAAAGATGCCTTGCCATGTGGTCAGTCTACAAGACGCCAACAGCACGCAAGGAAAATGCATCCATTTCCCTCAATTGTATTCCAGGTGGCTCGACAACAATTCGCTGAGCGGGATCCTTCCATACTCTCTTGAGGTCATGTCTCAGCTTACCTCCTTGTATGAAAGTAACAGGTTATACGTCATGGTGATGTGTCGTACATCTTTGGTTGTTGCAATTCTGTCAAGCAGTCAGCATTCTAAACGTAACCCTAACGGACAAGCATCCCTGAGAGGCGCACAACAGTCTCACGGCCCCATACACCTATCTACAAAATCCTTTTGGCTGCAGGAGAATCAATGACACGAGCCTCAACGGAACGTTGCCAACGTTTCTTGGGAGTTTCAGTTCCCTCGATTCACTGTACGTGAAGCACTAGCCATCCACCACATGGTCCGCACCGCCCATGGCATGGAGCTATGCATGGTGGGTGCAGAGCATGTTTGCTACAAATCGTAGGTGATTTTTGAGTCGACTCAAAAAGCATGTTTGCTACAAATCGGAAACAGCATCTGAGGCTCTTCAAACTGACCAAATCTTTGTGGCAAAGTGTGCTGGGAGATGTTGAAGATGGTAGGTAGGTATGGCTACGGGTAGGAGCACATCGCAAAAATATTGTGTGCAAAATGTGTCTGAAAAGTGTCTAGACTAACACAAACCGGTCACTTTTCAAAGCACCCTGCAGTGTCTCTGTTGGGTCTTGGTGTGTCACACAGAACGAACACAAATTGAACACTTTTTCTGGATCCGAAATGTGTCCGAAATGACTCTTGCCTGAATAACATTTCTACATTGCCCGTTCATTCGCTACACCATTCAATACACGCAAAATGTTCATGAAACTCTTACTTATAAGCAATGTTATTACAAACCAAGGCGTACGAAAAATACAATTACAACAAAGCGGCTAACTACTAGTGCAGAAGCACAAAGAGCTCATTTGTCAGCCATATTATGCCAATGCCAAGGGCTTCAAACAACATCACCTGCGTGCAAAACAGAAGTACGTGACATTAGGCCAAGGTGCAAAACGCCGATTTTTTTTAACAATCCCGTGTAGACATGAGCAACGAGGCGAGCAACGAGACGAGGTGCATTGGGAGGCAAATAGGTCTGTAGGGCGACCATTAGAGCCACTCCAAGCACGCCTGTTAAAAGCCAGCAAGCTCCGGGCCGGGAGGAATGGGCCGCTCAACACGTGGTGGAAGGGGGAAGAAGAGGGGCCGCGGTGCTGGTGCCCGCGGCGGAGGGGAAGGGAGGGTGGTAGAAAGGGAGAGGGAGAGGGGGATGACGGGGGATCCGCGCCCACGGCATCGCAGCAGCGTCAACATTAGTGCTGCCCGGGGTGGGGGCGACTTTGGTAGCTAAGGTGTACAAAAACAGTCGTTCCTCTAGGTGTTTTGTACATTTCTGCCCAATTCCCAACAAAGTTGCCAAAACGAGGCGAGGATTCCTCGCCTCGGGGCGAGGAATTTCCCTGGGGGCGAGGAAAAAAATCCTCGCCCCTAAACCCGAGGGACGAGGGTTTTTTTTCCCCAAAATTCCTCGGCGAGGAATCCTCACCTCGCCTCGTTTGGGGGGCGATGGTTGGAATTCCTCGGCAAGGAATCCTCGCCTCGCCTCGTGCTCATGTCTAATCCCGTGCTGTACGGTACCGAATGTTTCGACCACTTCAAATGTTTAAAAGCAGTTCCAAGTATGGTTGATATGTTGGTGCAAAAAACGGTCGTACATTTTCACCGTATTTTCACGTAGGTGTACACAAACAAAGATCGATATGCTTATCGAACTTTGCGACCCATCCTCGGCTAAATGCGCGGTCCGGGATTTTTCCGGAGCATGCATTTTGCCGAATCTCGAACCGCGCGACCAACATTTTCTGCCGCGGCTGTTGCGAAATCTAGAACCGTTTCGTCGCGCACGGTTCTGAATTTCGCAACGGCAAGGAAAGCGTGGTGAAAATTTGTAGTTCGCGGCACGCCAACTAAACCAACAAGTAAAAATCCCGTCATTAGGGATTCCAACCCAATTCGACCCAGCCACAAACGGCCCACGCCCCATGCCCTACGCCCCACACCCCACTCCCTCCATCAAGGGCTTTCTGGATTTAACAGAGGATAGCCCAAGTACAAAAACAGAACCAGAAATACTAGGTAAGCTCACTAGCTAGTTAAAAAATGGCAGCACCCAGCCACTTCTTTACCCCTGCAGAGTGCGGTCGGCCGGAGATGCGGAGGATTGGTAGAAGGAAGATCAGTAGGAGGAGTGGGAGGAGGAGGATGAGGAGGATTTCCTATCCTACCTCAATGTTGTGTGTTTTCGCGTGTAGGGAAGATGCCTAGCCCCCCCTGGATGTTGTTGTGTTGTTTTTTGGCAGGGAAGGAAAAAAAAAAAAAATCAGACTTGAGCCCATAAAAGAAAACTGTGTTTTTTCCCCCAAAATTATCGGAAAAAAACAGCCTTTTTTTTCGGACTGTATTTTACCGCAACCGAAATTTTGCACCTGGGATTAGACTCTAAAGGGGCGGAGATCTTGGGCAGCAGTTAAGGGAACGCCTTGGTCAATGCCACACAGCATGTCGTTGCTATATGCGTCATCCACCATACGCAAGGCAAGTGCTGGTGGCAGGGAATAAGAGGGAATACAATGATGGATGCTGCGGTCCTTGACAACTGCTGCAACCGTACAATCATACTAACGAGGAAAAAAAAAAAACCAGGCAAGAATGCATTAGTCAATAGGTGGAAGGGTGGAAGGCTACGAATGGTAAAATTACAAAG